ATCAGGGGCAAGGACCAGTCAGGGGGTGTGGGGAGAGGGGAGGGGAGGGGCTGCGGTTCTCAGGCTCACCCCAGACCCTCTGCTCCCAACTGGATACTGCCCGACCGACTCAAACCACAGGCAGGAACCCACGCGGCCCTGGGCCCGACCCACTCGCCGCCACCGGCCCGAGAGCACCAGGCATCGGCTCACACACCCCAAGGGGCTTCCTCTCCCCTCCAGTCTCCTCTCGCTGAGCTCCTTCAGGGAAGCCTGGCCACCTGTCACTGCCCCCACAGTCGGGCACATGAGCACCCAGAGATCAAAGCCCCTTGTCCAGGGCACCTACGCTGCCCTGGGTGGGCAGCCGCTGGCCTGGTCCTCCATCTCCCCAGGCTGTCCTTCAGTGGGAGTCAGGAGTCCCCTCTTTGCCTCTGCTCAGTCTCCAGCACAGCGTCGTGCCCAGGCAGACACCACAAGCAAGCTCCGGGCCTCGCCAAGCAGATGGCACAAGGCCACAAGCCCACAGGACGCACTGGGGCCCATGGTACCACACAGGGCGGGGGGCACGCAGTGGCAGTCCCCACTGTTGAACAGAGCTGTCTCCAAGGAATGGCGTGACCCCAGACCCCCGCTGGTCCTGTGGCTCCAACGTGGGGTTGCTTCCACCGAGTGCTAGAGGAGGACTTGGTAAATCTTTTCACACTCTCACCAATTTGCATACCATTACCCAAGAAGCCTTGCGCACGCCTGGCTTTCGCTTTTGCAAATTCCCACCCGTTTCGTGTCATAAATAAGATGGGAGACAGAAAACTAATACAGCCCAGAGATGCATTATTCATGGCGAGTCACGAGGCCCAGATGGATTTACGACGGCTAATACATGCAAACTAAGTTTGGGCACTAAACGTGAAAATTAAGGGTGGGTAAGCCGGGTGCACGTGGAGGTGGGCAGGGGGTTAAGGGGGGCTGGGAGTGTCCAGGAAGGCAGAGAAGTTTCTCCTCTGCCGTACTGAGTGACAACAAGCAAGACTGGACTCCAGGTCCAGCGGGGACCAAGCTCCGGCCCTGGGAGCCGCTCTGCTCTCTCGTTAAAGCTAGCAGAAGTCAAGTGCTGGGTCAGCGGATGTGCACGCGGGTCGGACGATCCAGGCAGGTGGCTCTCAGGCTGGGCAGTGGAGGCAGCCTCCCAGGGGAAGGGCTGACTCAGTGAATCCCCCCTTACAGCCCCATCTGTGGGAGCTCGGCCCGTGTCCAAGCCCACCCGCCCTGGGCTCCAGGGAGTTCCAGGCAGGGTCAGGAGCCAGGGTGGCAGAGCCGGGCTCTGCAGCCTGCAGGACGGCTCCAGCTGTGCCAGGCCTGGCTCTGGGGGCACAGGAAACAGGACATGTCTGGGGACCCCAGCTCCTGAGTGGCACAGACATCCTCCCCACTGCCATCCCAGGGCCTGAACATTCTAGAGCAGCGCCGGGCACTGCAGAGGCAGGATCTAACTCTCCCTTCTCCTCCGCCCCCCCCCCCCCCGGTTCCACACACACCCCCACCTCCCCCGGGGACGCTTCAACCAACCCAGGCACCCCAAACCTCCATTGGCCCAGGCTCAGCTTTCTATCCTGGAGGACAGCCGGGGCCTGTCCCACAGAGACAGCCCTACAGGGAAGGAAGAAGGCAGGCTGGAGGCTGCGCCCTGCCTGGCCCTGGCCACCGGGGAGGAGGAAGCAGAGGTGCAGAAAACAGCCATCGAGGAAATGGCTTCTAAAAGGAACTGACGGTCAGCATGGCTGTAAACCCCGGGGACACTCTAAGCCAGGACCGGGGCGGGGATGGAGGTGACTCGGGAGCTGCGGCTCAGGACGGCCTCCTTGGGCAGGTGGCGGCTTAGCTGTGACCTGTGAGGGAGGGGCAGGCAAAGGCCTGGCAGGGGAGATGCTGGGCATGGGTGAGAGTCACCAGCAGGGCCGGCAGCTGCGGGCTAGGAGACAGGCCTGGCCCCGGTCCACTGTCCATCTGTGAGCTGGGCCTGGCTGGTCCCTCTGCAGCATTGCAGGGATCTAGGAGCAGGGTGATGCCCACAGCCCCAGCCCCGGCCCCAGCTCCCTCTCTGCCTCAGGCCATTGGTATCAGGAAGAGGTTCTGCCCAACCCCTGGGCACTCCAGCTCAGGGGAGCTCACCCCAACACTGCAAGCCTACCATCAGTCTGTCCTCAATAGGTTTGCTCTGTGTGTGTGTGTATGTGTGTGTGTGTGTGTGTGTGTGTGTGTGTGTGTGTTAATTAACATGCAACCATCATCCCACAGCCAGCTTCGCCTCCAGCGATCGTGGGAAATGAACTCCAGACGGATGGATTACGCGTTGAAGGTGGCCATCTCGATAACGGGCGAGGAGGGCGCAATGTTGACACAGGCCCCATGGAGCTACCTTATTATTTAACAGGCCCCATCCGGCCTCTGCTGGGATCAAGGGGTTGAACAAGCTGTTGGTAGGCAAGTGTCACCGTGCATGCGTGCATGCGTGCATGTGTGCGTGTGTGTGTGCATGCGTGCGTGTGTGTGTGTGTGTGTGTGCGCTTGTGTGACATCTCTGCAGGACACAGGATACCAAGGTTAGGGACAGCCGGGCAAGGCGCGCAGAGGCAGGGCTGGGTGGGCCGAGGGGGACAGTCCCCAGCTCAGAACCCCTCCTCCCCCCTCAGGAAGCTGTCCCTGGCCTGGACTTGAGGACAGTGCTTTCCTCTGCCCAGCCACAGTGTCCACGCTCTCCTGTGCCCCTCCCCTACCAGCTCAGGATCCTGCCCCTGCCTCCCGGGTCCTGCGGGCCTGGGCCCCATGACCCAGCTGAGGCTTACAGCCCAAGGCTTTCTCTGCACACGGGACTTGGGGCCCCCAAAGAGCAGGGGCTTTATCTGGGGGGGAGGGTGGGGGAGGCAACTCACCCTGCATCTGCCCCCCACAACTGCTGCAGACAAGCACCTGCTCCTGCCATCCCAGCCAGACACAGGGAGACAAATGTGAACGAGGGGTGACTGGTGGCCAGAAGATGTGTGAGGAAAAGCCCGACTCCCACGGGAATTCCCCACAGGGACTCTGATGGGGACCACAAATGGAGTGCCAGCAGTGTGGACGGAGGACGGGGCCTCCCTCCTACCCAGACTGCCAGCCTAACACCACCACCACCACCCCAACCCTGCTTCTGTAGCTGTGTGGCTTTGGGCAAGTGACTTAACCTCTCTGTGCCTGTTTACTCATCTGTACAATGCAACTAGTACATGTTGCAGAGTTACCTTGAGGCTTTGTGAGCTCGGTGCCTGACCCTTACACAGTAGCAATGGTGGCTTCCCCTGGTGGAAGATGTCCGGGAAAGCTCTCGAGTGACCAAGATTCCTAGTTTACCCTCACTGCTGCCGCCACCCTTGAGCCACTGCGCCCTCCTGGGTTTCCTGGAGATGCCCCAGTCCCCCTCCCACAGCCACCCAGGACCAGGGAGCATGGGCTGTCACAGGCGTCAGCCATGATGGCCCGTACGGGTGCCTAGCCCAGGCCAGCTCAGGGAAAGAGGCAGCCAGGGCCCCGGGAGGGCCAGGCCAGGCTGGGACCATGGAGGCCAGCGTGGGACCGGCCAGCCTGGGGGCTGGAGGTGGTTGTGGGCAATGGGCAGGCAGAGCACAGGCAGCACTGAGGCTGGCCGGCCGGGAGCCCGGAAGAGGCTGGACTCTGAGCAGGACAGTGAGCACAGGGTGGGGTCCTACAGGCAGAGGGGGCCGTGTGGGGGCAGGCTCAGCCCCACCTGCTGCCCACCTCAGACCCCTCAGCCACCAACCACCACTCTGCACCCCAGAGGGCCCCCTGGACTCCCCCCCACTGCCACGCCCCCAGCCTCCTCGGCCACGCCCCCAGCCTCCTCGGCCACGCCCCCAGCCTCCTCGGCCACGCCCCCAGCCTCCTAGGCCGCCTCCCCACACTCCAGCTCTGAAAATGTTCTCCCTTTCCAGGAGCTCTCAGGGCCTGAGCCTTCCACCCACCCCACCCCTGCCCCTCCCATCCTCAGACGGGATGAACATTTAGACAAGAGCTACAGGGGTGCGTATGCTCCCCCGGTGAGTGGGCCTCACCCAGTGTGGCAAAAGTCTGAGGAGAACGCAGAGACCAAGAAGAGAGGATCTCCCTGCCGACCCCTCTGGGCTGGGACAGCGGCTCCCCTCTGCCCTCGGGGTCAGGCCCCGGGTCGTGGGCCAGCCAGCTCTGGGTTCGCACGCCTGGCTGTCAGGTCTCCGTGATAACTGAGCAACGACAGGTCTGCTCTTCTGAGCCTGGGCTGTAAGGGGAACTCGACCTTCATAAGCATGTGAGTTCATTTATCCTACACAGCACACACATAAACTCACATATCTGAGAGCCCTGGCCAGGGGCTCCCAGGACAGGGACCCCGTCCCTTCTTCCCAGCTCAAAGGTGCTCAGGCAGCAAGCAGCAGGACTGGAGAAAGATCGGGGGGGGGGTGTGCAGCCCCCCAGACCCCCCCTGGATGTTGGCCATTTGCCATGGTCCTAAGACACAATCCCTAGCGTCAGATCCTCCGTTTGTCAAGTGAAGATTGTGACTCTGCCGGGCGCTCTTGCTTGGCTGGCCAGTGTCACCTTAAAGCTGTGACCACCCCCCAAAAGGAAGCCTACTACATGCCTACAAGCCACCCCCAGCCTTAGGACCGGGCCTTCATCTGGGCATGAGGCCCAGGTCCGCCACACTTGCAACAGGGCAAAGGGAAGGAGGAACCCCAGGTGCCCCCCACCACCACCCACCACAGCACTTAGAGCACCGCCCCCAACATGGCTGAGTCCACACACGGGCCCTGAGCCCTAGTCCCAGATGCCACCCCACGGGGACCACTCCACCGGGGCCCATGGGACTCTCCCTCCCGGTGGCCCCTGAGGTTGTGTACTGGAGACAGCCCAGCCATCCCCGGGGTCCATGAGGTCAGCAGGGTGAGCGGGGCAGGCGGCCCCCGGGTCGCAGGGCAGGAGCGTACCTGAGTCTGCAGGGTGGCACAATCCAGGACAGTGACCCTCTGTCCACAGCTGGCCCACACCGCATCCTCTAGGCTGAGCAGCGTGCGGATGGGCCCCGGCCCTATGGTCAGACACATCGGGGGACTCTCCAGGTCCCAGGGGACTCCTCCTGGTGGGAGAGGAGGACACAGGTCAGCGGCGGCCCCACGCGGCCCTCCCTCACCAGGCCGTCGGTCCCCATTCCAGCCAGTGGGAGCTTTCCCAGCCCCTCTGCCTCCCGCCATTTAAGACCCACAGCCAGGGGACCCATGAACCCTTCCCTCCCTTCCCCCACGCCCTTCCAAGCCTCTCTTCCCCTCCCTCACTACCTCTCACCCTGCTAAGTGATAGACACGGGGTGCTTGTACTAGGGGCTGGCAAGACAGCACTGAATGGGCAAAGGCCTGCTCTCTAGGAGAGCCTGTGGGACAGAGACAGCTTGAGCCGGGCCAGATGCCGTCCAGGGTGCCACGCATACCCTCAGCTGGCAGGGAGAGGTGCAGCTGTCCACAGAGCTGGACGGCACCGGGGTTACGGGGTCCGTCTGGTCTGTCCTCCTTCCCCCTCTCCCTGGAAACTTCCAGCCTCCCTGGTGCCCTGCGGCAGAACCCCAGCTCAGCGAACACGCCAGGTTATGAGGAGACCCTCAAATCCACAGACCACTGGCCCCGAGCCTGGGAATGCACGGGGCTGGGCCAGAGTGGTCTGCGGACCTGAATCTCCACTGAGAATGCGACCGCGGATGCCTGGGTCCTGACACAAGACATGGCGAGCCTTCCGCCACCCCCGCCCCCACCACCTCGGCCTCGGACCCCCATGACTGTCCCTGCTCACTGGCTTCCCATGCTTCCTGCAGAAGCAGATCCTGGCTCCCCAGAAACCCACAGCTGAGAAGGGATGGTGGGCCATGAAGCATTAGAACTCAGCTCTGACTCTTGTCTAGCCACTGCCGCCTCCTGCTCCTCCTCCTCCTCTTCCCCCTCCACTTCCCCCTCCTCCTCCTCCTTGCCCTCCCTCCTGCCCACTCTGTGGCCAGAACCCAAGTTGTAGGGGGGGTGTGGAGATGAGTGACCCCAAGCTATCTGCCCTCACTCATGGAGGTGGAAACCCGGGGCTTTGAGCGCCCCCCAGTGGCTAAGGAAATGCAGTGGTGCTTGTGGCCAGAAGCTGTAGCTTCAGCAGCTGTGACCAATGTGAGAAAGAGCAGCTAGGCATGCTGGGACAATGTCCGGGGGATGTGGGGTGTACTCCGCTGTCACCCCTACAACCTGCCACCCTGGGCAGGGCCACAGCCACCAAACCTGAGGGTCACGCATACACTGGCTGGCTACTCTGCCCTTCACACACTGTCCCAGAAATTGTCTAAGCGGACCCAACTCAGGACCCAAGGAGAAACTGGTCACACTTTGTGAATTTGTATCCAAAAGGACGCTGGACAGGAGGCCCTCATGGAAGCCCCCGTGTCGCCCTGCACAAGAGGCTGAGCCGGCTAGGCCCTGGCTTGCTTGTGGCATCACAGGGGATGGATCTTTATCCTCCAAAGCCTTACCCACCAGGCTAAGATTCCAGCCTCACCCTACCTTCCTGGCCCTGGGAGGGGGGAGGGAAGGAGGTGGGCTGTGGGCAAGCACACACATGTTCCAGAACACGAGCTCACAGGTGTACATCCGCCCCCTGCATGACAGCCCATCCATCTGGGCGGGAGCTGGCCTCACAGCCAGCGAGGAGAGACGAAAGTCCTCCCTCAGCAAAGGCACCTTCACGATGCCGTGCCCTTCCTCCCCAGCCACAGGGGACCAAGCTCTGGAGGTCCCAGGGGGCAGGACACAGAGACGTGGAAGCTGAGAGGCCAGAAGGGGACAAATGACTTCCGTTCCCGGAGGATGAGTGACAGGTGAGGCTCTGAGCCCCTGACCTTCACAGGCTTCACTCCAGGAGATGGGGTGACCTGCTCCCAGGGAGGGGCTCGGTCCCTACTGCCTGTTCTTCCTTTCTGTTGTCTGAAACTCCAGAAGGTGAATCTGTCCACCCAGGATGCCAGTGGTGCCCGTGCTGGCTCAGAGGTGGGGAATCCATGGGAGGGAGAGGGATCCCAGGTGACTGAGTTCAAGCACTGGCCCAGGACAGCACACCCTGCTCAGTACCCAGTACCTCATGGGCAGCACACACTTGAGCGCATAATGAATGAAGGAATGATCAGAGGTAAGCAGAGGCTCCCCAGCCTGCCGTGCCATACTTCTCGGGGCCTCAGTCTCCCTGCCGGTCAGTAGAGGAGGCCCCCCCCAGTCTTCCAGTCATCTGTGATCTGCTTTTCCTCGGGATCTCTGAGATGAACCTAAGTGCCCGGTTTAGTGTCTGGCTGTTCTGCTTAATGTGTGCCCTGCCCTCCCTTAGCTAGGGTCAGGAGGCCAGTTTGCCCCGGGCAAAACCTGTGACCATACACATCTGCAAAGGCCCCATCCAGCACTGGTACTGGCTCCCCTGGGGCTGCAGGTGCCAGGCCTGGACAAGTCCCAGCCCCAGACCCTGTGACCGCCAGGGGGCACCCAAAACGAGTTCTGGGGTGGGGGGAGGCCCCACAGGGCACAGGTAGAGGAACTTGACATCTGCTGCTGGGATGGATGGGCCGACCTGAGGGGGTCTCAGAGGCCTAAGTGATTAACTATCTGGTCAGCTAGTGCTGACCTCACAGGTCAGGGGTCAGGCCCATGAGTCCAGCCCCAGACATGTGCGCAGCCAACGTGGAGGTCATAAGAAAGAATTCTGCCCACCCCACAGAGTGTAGCAGATCCTCAGAGACCCCCCCACCCCCATCCTGCCCAGGCCCCCTCTGAAGGATGCTACTGGGTGGGGTGGGGATGTCAGGTAAGGCAAGACCTCTCTCCAAGGCTGCAGCCCATGACAGCCATGCTTCCCCGGTCCCCAGCCAGCAGGGGGCAGCGCCCAGCCATCTGCAATGCTCTGCTCCACTCACAGCACAGAGACAACCCCATGACCAGCCATCTGTCCCCAGACCCTGGCTAGTGCCACCGTCCCCCCCCCCCCCACGCCCCCTCCCCCAGCACCCGCCTAACACGGCAGCCTCCTCCCTCCACCCACAGCACGCTGCTCGCCTGCTGTCTTTTTCAGTTCTCGGCATCAGGGGCCACAGCTTCCCCCCTCCCCCCACAATCAGACTCTCATGGTGGGCGGGGAGAGCTGGGGGCCTGATCTGCCCCTTACATACTGCCTAGACTGTCTGTCTCCCTCCATAAAACCTCCTGGAAGGCAAGAGGAGAGGACGGCCAGGAGGAGGGTGCAGATCACACCTCAGTCACGAGGTGCCATAGTGTCTCTTTCCAGCTGGAAAATAAGATTCGGGGTCCAAGGGTCCATAGCAGCTCTCTGGTTCTGATAAACTGCCAGGCTCCAGTTCCAGGCTAGAAGCCACGGAGGGACGTGTATCCCCCCAAATCTGTTATGTTGACACCCTAGCCCCCCAGCAGCACAGACGTGCTGGGGGGGGGGGGGACAGCCCACTGACACTTCCACCTTGGATGCCACCTCCAGGGCGGGGGAAAGATGCAATAGGGAAGCCGCGTCCCTCCCCACTCCCCACCCGGCACCCAAACCAAGGAGCCAAGAGGCAAAGGGCCAAAGGTGACCCAACTGCAGTCCGGAGGCCAACAGGGAGAAGGCAAGGCTTGCGGTCCGCACGCGGTGGGCGCCAGAGGGTGGGTGGCCCCCTTAGAGCTCCGTCTAAACCTCGACACATCTGAGCCTGTATTTACATTCGCACGCACGCTCCAACGGCAAGAGGGATTTTTCCCTCCTTCTTCCCCCTTTAATTAAAAACTATAAATGCCTTATCAAAAGCTAATTAAAAATACCAACACAGTGCCAAGTAGCAAAAAAAAAAAAAAACCCTGTGCAAACATTCACTTAAAACGCTGCAACAGGATCAGAGCGGTGTCGGAGGGGACCAAGGGGAGGAGACGTGGCTGGGTGCGGCAGATCTCAGGGTCACCCCCTCTTTGGGGTCACCTGGGGACAGCCTCACCTGCCACTGCACAGGGCAGAGCACAGGCCCCCACGGGACTGTGACAAGTGTGTCACCCAGGTACGTGCACACACACACACACACACACATGCACACACACATGCACGCACAGCCTTGGCATCCTGATCTACCAAGCAGAGCCAGTGAGACTCAGGACAGTGTTCCAGCCATGAATGCGCCCTGCACCACTAGCTTGACCCCCCACACTCAATGTCATGGCAGTGATGGCTCCATACAACGCAGACCAGACACCCCTTTCCTAGGCACCATGACCCTGGCCTGGGCTTTGCCTCCCTGAGACCAGGACCGTGACCACAGGTTCCTCTGTACCCACCAGTCCTGCCCGTGGGCTGGCCAGCCTGCCTGGCAGTGAGCGCCCTACTTCTGCAGGATTCACATCTAAGGGACCAGGCATGGGGCTTTCATGGGCCTTCAGGGTCTTCAAACCCTTCCGCCCATGACTCCTTTCCTGCCTTCCCCAACTCTGTGCCCGCTCCTTCGCCTGCCTCCTGCAGCCCCCGGCTGATACCCAGGCCGGCCCCGGCCCCACCCACCGGCCCTCACCACTGCTCCGAGGGTAGGCGGCGAGGGTCCCGTCCTGCAGGCCGGCCAGCAGGAAGGAGGGGCTGTACCGCAGGCACAGCACTGGCTGTGGGCCGGGGCTCCTGCAGGTCGCCAGGCACTGGGTGCCCGTGTCGACGCTGCCGTAGAGCAGGATGCTGTGGGGAGAAGGGACGCACCGTGACTCACAGACACCCACCAGCCTGGTGTTCCCCCCAAGCCGACTGACCCCTTCCCCCCCCCAGACCCCATGGATGGCGTGTTAGGGGCAGGGCTCTCCCTGGCTCCTCACAGGGGTCCCTAAGGGCTCCACAGGGTCCGCAAAGGTGCTGAGATGTCATTTGTAGGGCACTCCAGAGACGGTCATGGGACTTCTTTGAGGAGTAATGAGAATGTGCTAGAACTAGCAGTACTTCCTGGAAGCCTCTGAATGGCACACTTTTAAAAGTTTAAATGATGACTTTGGGGTTATGTGAATTTTATCTTGGTTAAAAAAAAACAAAAAACATATTGACTGAGCCAGGTGCCTGAGGCTCGTGCGTCTAATCCCAGCTACTGGGAGGCTGTGGTCAGAGGATGACAGTGTAAAGTCAGCCCAGACAGGCCAATCTAGGAGAGTCCATGTCACTTAACCAGCACAAAGCTGGAACCGGAGGCAATGGCTCAAGTGGTAGAGCACCAGCCTTGATTGAAAAAGCCGAAAGAGAGCTTGAGGCCCTGCATTCAAGCCCCAGCACTGCCACACGCAGACCAAAAAACAAAACAAAAAAAATGTTTACTGGATTCCTCCCTCATGGTAAGGAACCCCATCACCCGAGCTGCCCAGAACCTCAAGATCACCCTGCCCACCCAGCAGGGAGCAGCAGGCAGGCCACAAATGGGTGAAGGCTCAGAGACAGCTAGGGGAACCAAAAGCCCATGTGTCCCTTCTCGGTGGCCTCCCCGTGGCCCTGCCTAGAGAGAATCTGGAAGCCTGGAAGCCAAGGGTCCCAGGGCTCACATGGCGCCTGAGGATACACAGACATGTATACGGAACCCCAACTTGTTCAATTCAATTCTTGGGACACCAAAGCCGTGTGGCCTGAACGCTGTCATGCTGCCTGACAGGGCCCAGCTGGCTGGAATAGAGCTGCTCCCAGCATGTGAGGGCCACACGGCAGTCCCACGCCCTTCCTCTCCACCCTCACCTGCCATCCTGGAGCCCAAGGCAGATGGTGGGGTGCATAGCAGCTGAGGGGTCTGTGGTGGCCCGGCTCTCCTCCGAGCCCTCCGCCTCCTCCTCCGGTTCCGGAATGTACTCCATGCAGAGCACCGGGGCCGCCAGGGGGAAGGACTTGACAGTGCGTGGGGAGGGTCTGTTCAGAGAGAAGATCTCCACCTGGCCCCCGGCACCCTCCTTCCCACCTCCAACCTGGGGACGGAGACCGAGAGGCCAGTCAGGAGGACGCCATGCAGTCAACAGTGGGCCCCAGCCCCTCCTTCCCTGGGCCCACCTTCCCAAGCAGCTCCTCAGCACGGGGGATGCATATGGTGAGAGCATTCATCTCCTACCAGCACACACCCTGTGCACACAAATGCACATAACGTTGTGTGGCAAAAAGTTAGGGACAAAAGGAAGCCAGGTAGGAGCTAATGTCGATAAATACCGTCAGCTTTCTATCTCCTCTTCTGTAGGAGCATGTCAACTGATCACGATCATGCTCACCCTCTGTCCAACATGTGACACACACTGGATGGATGGATGGATGGATGGATGGATGGATGGATGGATGGATGGATGGATGGATGGTGAGTGGATATATAGATGAGTACATGCATGTATTCATGGGTGGATGGATAATTGGACAGATGGACGGTGGTGGATACATGCCTACAACAATGGGCAGATATGTGCTGGATAATGGAGAAAGAGGGAGGAATAAATCAACCTCCCAAGGAGCACGTGGCTGTGGAAGGTAAGCCACAGTTGTGCTGTGCAGGTGTCTGGAAACAGGAATGAGCAGGAGAGTTGGGAATGGCAAGGCTGGAGCCTCGGGCACAGAGGGGAGCCCTCAGCATCCCGAGGGGGCATGGGGGAGGAGGCTCATTTGAATCAGGAGCTGCTGTGCCAGATATGGGGAGACAGAAAAGCTGCATGAAGTGGGGTGCCCAGCCTGCCTCCTGGTCCAGGCCTCTGCACAGCTCTGATTGCTTTCCCAGGAAGTCTGCTGTGGATGGTGCCATGTCCACAGCCCCTCCCTTGCTCCCCTCTACTCACCCAGAGGTAGCCCTGTGGAAGGGAGGTGCTGACGGCGGAGAAGCCCAGCAGGGGACAGTTGACAGGACTGTGGACCAGGGCCCCAAGCTGCAGAGACAAGAGACAGCAGAGGCGGCGTTAGTCAGTAAGGGCTGAAGGGCTATCCAACCCCCCAGTGAGAATCTCTGAGGCTGGAGGCTGGAAAATGACATACGTCACAGGGTCGACATACTGACAACTCTCTCTTCTAGAACCTTCTGGCCAGAAGAGACTTGCATGATCCCCTGCATTTGCCCAGTCTTGAAAACTGGACAGCTTCCAAGGTTTGTCAAAAACCACTAAGGCTCACCCCTCTCTTTTGAAGAGGAAAAACAAGGTCCGCAGAAAGGAGCCGCCAGCTACCTGTGCCTCCTTCCTGGGTCTGCTGCCCCAAGCTCCGCTCTTCATGGTCTCTCTGGGGCCAGCTTCCTGACCCCACTCAGCCAGCAGCCTCTGGCCAAGTCTGGGCTGCAGGGAAGGGGTGAGGGGGGGTTGGATGGGGTGCGTTTTCTAGGCAAGTGCTGCCCTCTGCTGGTATGGAAGGCCCCAGCCAGTCCATGCTCTGCCAGAATATTCTAATATCCTAACAATTCTAATGGCCTCATCCAACCTCTTCACAGGGCAACTGGGGGGGGGAGGGGGGAGGGGGTAGAGGGGTGAGGAGGAGGACGTGACTAGCTCAAAGTTACCAAACAAATCAGGAGCAAAGACAGCGTCAGGGCTTAAACTTCCAATCCCTTCAGCTTGAGTTCTACCCAGAAGGCCAGGTGCCAGACCAGAAGTGGCGGTACTCTGGGGGCCCACTTCTGCCCTGCTGGGAACACAGAGCCCTCCCCCTCAATTCTGAGCAGAAAGCCTCCTGAACCCCAGCCTCTTGGAGTCCCTGCCTGCTCCGCTTCCTAACAGCTCCCAGCAGCCAGGGGCTTGTACTGCCCGCCTACAGCTCCTCCCCTCCCAGAGGAGGCAAGGGTGGTCCTGCCCCGGGCTCAGACATCTCCATGGCAACTCTAGGGACTGATGTCAGCTGACCGCAAAGCTGGGTCCAAGATGACAACAGCTCAAATGGCTCCTTAGCGGGCCAGGGCCTGGGCTTCTTCTCACCCATTCCAGGAAGCAGACTTCCCCAAAGTCAGGGAAGCAAGCTTCAGGTGCAGCCAACCTGGGCTCCAACCTCAACTTGGTGGCTCCACCTAGGGGTCCTCACATGTGAGAGGGGATCCCACTTCTCATTGGGGGAGCGGGGAGGGGGTCTGTGGGGCTGTAAAAGGCCAGGCTGCAGCAGTGCACCCCCGGTGGGCGACTACACAGTGAGCCAGCAGGGTACCAAATTCAGGAAGGGCTTGGGTCTCCCCACAGAGTACCACGCACAACAGCTCAGCTGGATCCCCAGGACAGAAGTGTGTGGATGGACGGAGGTGGGCTCTTTAGGGGGTGGAGCCTGGTGGAAGGCGATGAGGTCCCTGGGGATTAACGTCATTCTTAGGGGACCACGCCATTCATTCCCTCAAGAGTGGGTTGTTATAAAAAGACCCCTTCTGGCCTCTGCACCCTCCCGGCATCCCAGCCTCTCCATGCGATGCACACTGTGACCTTTCATATGATGTCATGCTAAGCCTGTTAGGATGACATCATAATAAGACTATTAAAATGATGTCATGCTAAACCTCACCAGAGGCGGAACATCACTAAAACCTTGAGCTTTGTAAATAACCCTCTTTTCCTTATAAAGGACCCAGCATCAAGTACTCCCTTAGAGCAACAGAAAATGACCAGTTACAAAGCAGTTCTACCTAGCAGAGGCCAGGAAGATCCAGCTGAGAGCCAAGCCTAGCAGCCTGGCCCCAGACCCTATCCAGGGCAGGGTTCCAGCTCCCTGAGTCCACCCAGGGCTTGAGCACCTCAGAGTGGACAGTAACCCCTCCCTGTCTCCCGTCAGTTCCTGGGTATCCTTCAGGCTGACTTCAGCCTACTGCAGGATAAGCTCATGCCACACCCTCCCTGAGCCCCCCCAAGAATGAACCCCCTGTAGACGGAGGCAGGAGACTCCTCTAGCACCCTAAAGTCAGGCCTCGGAAACTCCCAAGACACCTCAGGGGCCTCTTCCTCCCGGCTGCACCAGTGACCATAATGCACTGCGACCCAGTCAAGGAGAACAGAAGGTGACCCCAATGTCACGTGCAATGTCACGTAGTGGTGACATCATGGCTGGAACAAGTCCCTGGTGTCCCAGAGCTAGGACAGCTGGGCAGGACTCAACTAGAACAGGGCAGCTCCAGACACCGCCAACACGCAGGTCCCCTGTGGGGCCCAGCGAGGCCCAGCACGAGCGTGGCGAGGTCAGCACAGAGGAGCGACCTGCACCCCATTCCCTAGAGAACAGAGCCAGCACACACCTCGTCCTGCTGGGACCAGGCCGGGTCTTGCCCAAGCCTTCCCCGGGGGACACAGGCCGGGTCTCGGGCTCTCATTAGCCGGCCTGCAAGCCGGCAGTAGGCAGGGAAGGGGGCATGCGCTCACATCTGTTCCTGCAGTAATTGGACAGGCCCTGGCACTCCAAACCCCTAATTCATCCGGCTGGCGGCACAGAGCTGATGGGGCACAGCTGTCTGGTCTGGGTGGGAGGCGGGCGCAGCGGAGCGGGATGGGCATCTCAGGGCCCAGCAAATGGGGCCGTGCAGGCTCCGCCGGGTCCCCCGGGGACCCTCACAGCTTCATTACCCACGGAGATGCGTGAAGGGCTCCCTCCGTCAGCAGGATTGCAGGGGGGCCGGTGGGGTGCTCTGCATAGGGAGATGAGACTGGGGGAGAAAGGGGCCTCATCCCCCAGACTCAGCTTTCTTCCCAAGAGGCCCTGGAGGAGGAAGAGGCCTATCTGTGACTCTACTTACCCTCATCCCACCTGTCAGGGTGCAGGTATGGTCTGCAAATCCTGGAGGAGATGGAAGACTCCAATCCCCTCCACCGAAGTCAGGGGAGACCCTAAGGTCCCCCGCTCTGTGGGCACAGGCCTCCACCCAATGCCCACAGGGAACCCCATCTCTCGTCAGCCCAGTTCCTGCCCAACACACCCCAGCTCACCCCATACCTCTCCCTGCTCCCGCCAGGGCAGCGTGAGGGCACAGGTGCAAAACTTAGGGGGATACCCCAAAGGTGATTTCAAGGTGATTTTTTTTTTTTGTACATGCAGTACAGAAGGTGGAGGAGGTCAGGGCACACACGCACACACACGCACACACACACACACACACACACACACACACACACACACACACACACACACACACACACACACACACACACACACACGGCCCTGAGAGAGGAGCTCCTCTTCTGCACGCTTAGAGCAAATTTTTTAAATCACTGCTAATCCTGGCCTTGTATCACGAAATCAACAACCATCTCAGACCAGGGATGTGCCCAGAGAATCTTTTTCTTTTTAAAGTGTCACATTAAGTTATTATTTACCTTCATTGTTGAGATTTTTTTTTGGTGCCATTCTTTTTTTTTTGGGGGGGGGGGTCCAGTCGTGGGACCTGAACTCTGGGCCTGGGTGCAGTCCCTCAGCTCTTCAGCTCAAGGCTAGCTCTCTACCACTTGAGCCACAGCACCACTTCTGGCTTTTTTTCTTTTTGCTTATGTGGTGCTGAGGAATCGAACCCAGGGCCTCATGCATGCAAGGCAAGCGCTCTATCACTGAGCCACCTTCCCAGCCCCTTAAAGTTCATTTAATATACATATTATTTTATATAAATATGAAGAGATGCAAACGCATTGTGCCTTTGTGTTTCTCTCCTAAGAGTATCCTCTGTTGGTTGTTTTTGTTTTTTATTGTTGTTGGTGGTCTTGGAGCTTGAACTCTGGGCCTAGGCACCGTCCCTGAGCTCTTCAGCCCAAGGTGAGCGCTCTACCACTGAGCCACAGAAAACTCTCATTTTTCTGGTGGTTAACTGGAGATGAGAGTCTCACGGCTGTTCCTGCCTGGGCTGGCTTTGAACCAAGATCCTCAGGTCTCAGCCTCCTGAGTAGCTAGGATGACAGGCATGAGCCACCGGGGCCTGGCTGGTGCCTGTTTCAAACTGCAGAAGCGGAAGCCAGAGCTCACCTCTCCCCTTTCCCCAGCCCCAGCCTGGGCTCCCTGACTCAGCTTCTCCCCGCCCCCACCCCCACACTAAGCATGTTCGTTAGCCTCCCACGCCCTCTCATCCTTCTCACACACAAACAGGAGGACTCAAAGGGATCAAAAAGATGAATGAGAATGCCATCCTGCGGGGCTGGGAGACCCAGCACACCCAGCCACTGCCTCCATGTCCCCTCCAGTGCACACCTCCTAATTGCGATTGTAAGAGGATTAAGAGATGGGGGCCATTAAAAGATAACTAGGCTACCAAGCTTCTGGCCTGGTAAATGGATGAATGCTATGACCCTGCCCATGGGTTCCTGACAAATCCTGGATCTGCCTGTGTCCTCTGGGTTTCACACAGACACGCACACACCCCTGCCCTTGCACCTTCCAGCAGGGTGGGCCCGGCGTGGAGGCCCTCTCCAGATGTTGACACCAGCCTCCCCCAACGTGAGCCGAATACACGGCTGCTGTTTGTTAAGTCACCCCGCCTCAGGGAAGCTGCTACAACAGCAGGACACAGACCGAGACATTTCCAGCTCACCCTAACAGGCAGCCGAACCTGCTCACTGGCTGAAGCCACTGGGGCCTTCTGTGTTGATCTGACTAGAAAACTGTCCCCTGAGTCCTTCTGGCCATGTGAGTCTCAGTTAGAAAGTCAACTCCTCCAGGGCTGGCTGCCAGGAACCACAGCTCTACCTCCAACTCTCTGGTGGTTCACTGAAGAGAAGAGTCTCACAGTGTTTCCTGCTCAGCTGGCTTCAAATTTCCATCCTTGGATCTCAGCCTCCTGACTAGCTCAGATTATAGGCGTGAGCCACCGGAACCCAGCTCGTATTGATAGTCTTTGTAACACACATTACTCTCTTCTGTTCCCTTCTGTTACCTGTCTATCTCAATTAGAGCGAACGCTACATGCATTCCCAGGAGCTAGCACACAGTCGGTGCTCAAGAGTTCTCTGGGTGTGGACCCACGAACACAGTGACAAACGGTGAGCTTCCATCTCAAGGGTATCCTCTGGGCTGTTTAGAACCTCAGCCCCCACCCGCCAGCCAGCCTCCGGGGACCGGATAATATGTGTGCCGGGTCCATGCTTGCTCTCCTGTCCCCAGAGCTGAGATGTCCTCATCGCGTGGGGGAGGACAGAGGCTCTGTGCGGAGGCGTGGGAGCTGGCAGGACACAGGGGACAGGGGACGGTGGGGGCTGAGCTTGTGAAGAGCAAAGACCACGGGGGACTGGAATCAGGAGGAACAAGATTTGAGCTGCTAAATGACATCACCCATCTTAGACCTCATCTCTCCTAATCCATGAAACCCACAGAGCTTCTGTGCGCCATTCATTGGTGTGTGATCCCCAGGAAGACAAGAGATGATGACAAGGCATGATCAGCATGCCGCCCTGCGCCCAGCAGGCAGGGGTGATGCCTGCAGTGTAGCTGTGTGCCAGCTCTCGCCCGGTTGACATTAACCAAGATTCTCACACCACAAACTCACCTGGGTACATGACAGAGTCCTGCCCTCAACTCATGAGATCACTGCTACTTGTTATCTCAAGATAATGGCATTTCCCCTTCTCCTGACCCAAGCTGGTCCTGTGAGCCCGGCAGGTCACCTGCCCCCCTTAGAGGCTGTGTGTATGAGTAAGGCATTGAAGAGCTAGAACAGGAACCCAGGCCTCTCTGGCAGCGCTCAGCACTGCCTAATTACTGGTCTCCCCCGCCCCCAAGATGGGGCCACAGCCCTGGGGCATAGGAGGTCCACTCACCTGCAGGCTGAGGGCCTGGGAGGAGAAAGCAGGAACACAGCAGGCCAGGATGGGACACCAGAAAGGGGCTTTGCTCTTCCTGTCCTCGTCCGGACACAGCCAGCCTGGCTGGTTCTCCTCTCCTGCGACAAGGAGGAGGCGGTAAGGGTTGCTGATCGGAAGCAAGAGGCCAAGCAGGCAGGGAGGGGGAGCGGCAGCGGCTGCAGGCCCCGCAGGCCAGACCCTAGCATGACAAAGAAGTACCCTGTGCTGCTGCCAGCCTGACTTGCAAACTTGTGTGTGTGTCTCTGTGTGTCTCTGTGTGTGTGTCTATGTCTGTGTCTGGTTGGTCCTAGGGCTTGAACTCAGGGCCTGGGTGCTGTCTCTGAGCTTTTATACTCAAGGCTAGCCCTCAACCACGGCTCCACTTCTAACTTCTTTGTGGTTTATTGGAGACAGGAGTCTCATGGACTTTCCTGCCCCATCTGGCTTCTAATTTGTGATCCTTAGATCTCTGCCTCTTGAGTAGCTAGAATTATAGGCATGAGCTATGGGCACCAGGCTATGAACTTTTTTGGGGGGGGGGGCTGGTTCTGGGGCTTGAACTCAGGTCCTGGGCACTGTCCTTGAGCTTTTGTGCTCAAGGCTAGTGCTCTACCACTTTGAGACACAGCTCCACTTCTAGTTTTATGGTGGTTAGTAGGAGGTACAAGTCTTATGGACTTTCCTGCCGGGGCTGGCTTTGAACTGCGATCCTCAGATCTCAGCCTCCTGAGTTGCTAGGAGTATAGGCGTGAGCCACCGGGGCCTGGCTATGACTTCCTTTTATTGGAGACTGGCACTGGGTCAGACAGACACGGGCTAGACAGATGTGGGGAGGGGTCACTTTGCAGGCAGCCTGCATCAGGCTCGTGACGATCACCTGAGAGAGGCCGCTGCCACCAGACAAGGATGGTGTCCGGGCCACCTGCGCCGTGGCCAGTGGGGCTGGAGTGAGAGGCGGGGGTGGACATCCACAGCGGTCAGTTCCAACAGGTCCCACCCCCGGCTGAGCCTCTGACCACTGGAAACAATCTCCAACATGGCCCACGATTACCTCCACCCACCAGACCCCGGAAACCGTCCCGTAAACCATGGCCCCCGCCACGCAAAGGGAAAAGACTTCCATGACAGGCGGAGACCCCCACGGCAGACAGTTGACATGTCGCCTCTTTCCATCCCGGACCCCACAGGAAGCAGGGCCCTCCTCCCCTACCCTCATCACCACGGGGGGAAGCAGAGGCTGAGGGAGGCCTGACGCCATGGAAGGCTTTGCCCAGTGCCCTTCCCTGGGATCCGGCCTTCCTCTGGGAGGAGCTCTGGGTGTGAGCGCTGTGCGCGCCCCAGGGACCCAGCCCCAGGCAGAGCCTCCCGGCACACACGGGAGCCCAGCGGCACCCACACGGCCCATGGAGCCCTGGCATTTTATTATCATACACACTTTTTTAATCATCTGACCTGCTCCTTCCAGGTGGCCCCTCCCCTGCCTGTGACTGGGAATGTAAAAAGTAAAAGAACAGAGCTCTTGCTACAGTGGTGGCCACCATTACTCCTGACACAAAACCACAGCACCAGGCCCAGGCCGAACCGGGAAGCTGTTCTGAGGGGCACTGAAGGGGGAACGTGGTGTCACAATTCCCGCTTGAGTTCAGCTGGGACTCCAAGGGACCATCGGTGCGGCTCAGTGCCAGCTGAGCACAGCACACCATCTCTCTCTCTCACCCCCAGGAGCAGAGGAGCAACCTCAGGGTACAGCCCCACCCACCCCAGCCCCAGAGCCATTCCCCTCTGCCTTCCTAGAAGGGTTCTAGGCTCATCCTCACCCAGCCTCCAGCCTGCTGTGTGACACCAAACTCAGTGCTTAACCTCTCTGAACCTGATGCTTTTGTAGAAAAAAAAAAAGGTAACTGTTATGAACACAGGCCTATGAGGCCTAGGCTATCGCAGGCCGGCGAAACAGAGAGACAGAGGCTGTGAATATTTTGCTGATAGAAAGCCTGTGATCACGCCTGTGATTCTAGCTACTTGGGGAGCTGAGATCTGAAGATTGTGGTTCGAAGCCAGCCCAGATCTACAAATCCAGGAGACTCATCTCCAGTCAACCAGCAAAACGCTGGAGGTAGAGCTGCGGCTCAAGTGGTAGAACACAAGCCTCGAGCAACAAAAAGCTCAGGGACAGCATCCAGGCATTGAGTTCAAGCCTCAGTACTCCCACACGCGCAAATGTTATTCGGCTATGTTGATACACCCAGCCGCGCTCCTCTGGCACGGCCCTGCTCCCGCGGCCTTGACCTCTGACTCCGTTCCAGTGCGGGGCCTTCACCGTCACAGCTACCAGACGACACGGCCTGGGTGGCCTTTCTCAAAATCCCCAAACCCGAGGAGGCCCCTCCCCACATCCCAAACGCCCACAGAGAGGCTCCGGTGACAGCCCTGGAGGCCGAGCAGGGCGGGGCCTCTCCCTCCTTTCTCCGTCCCATCCTGAGGGTCACAGTGCTGCTGGGAGCCTGGCCTCCCCACCGGGGTAAAGTCAGAGCCAGGCTCTGCCACCCCAGAGAAAAAGAGCTACCTGCCTCAGGCCCCCGCACGGTCCCCACTTCCCAATGCACAGTCCCAGCCCCCCACCACCACCACGAATGCCTCCTGTGGGCCCGTGACCCCACCATAATGAGGAACGCGAGATCGTTTGAGATCTCGTCCAACCCCAGCTGGGAAGACAGTTCCCACGAGCACCCGCCCACCCTGAATGTGTGCAGACTCCCCGATGCCCCTGGCAGATCCCCTCCCGGCCCTCTCCTCCCGCCGTCTTCAACGAATTATGCTATAGTCAGGAAGAAAGGTACCAATAATAATAATAAAACACAATAAAGGAGTACCATTCTTGGTGAATAAATGTTCTTAACATATTCTAGCTCTAACAGGCTCATATTATTCTCCCCCTCCCACAGGCACTGCAGATTTAAAATGCACACGCGCGTGCATGCGCGCATGCACACACACACACAGAGTAACAAAATAAAAAGAACAAATTATTCAAGCCCCAGGGGGACCCAGGCATTCAAATAAGATTTCAAATGACTCTCCTTCCCATTAAAACTTCTGCTGCAGTGAAACTGTGTGCAGAGATTAGGCTGCCGAAAGTGGTTTGGCCGCCACAAACAACTCCTGGCCCCCGAGGCCTGGCCCGGCTCAGCAGAGCATCTGATCCGGGAGATTTATGGGCCTGGAGAGCAGGTGCACAGGACCTGGGGCCCTGCCTGCCACAGAGCTTGCGCAGCGGTGAGCACTGCAGGTGACCCCCCCCCCCAGCCCTGTGGGGCACCACCTGAGCCTTTCTGAGGGCCAAAATTCCAAGGCCTCTGCCAGGACAGGGCAGCTGTTGTGCTCAGAGACCTTCCTCCCCTCTCCAGAGGGTTCCCGGTCACCCAGAGAGCCCAGAACAACCTCGGCTCCAGATCCCAGGGGTCCGGCTGAGTAGAAACTCCGTGGCCCCCATTCCTCCAGAACCCCCGGCTCCTCCTCCATGCCCCCTCTGCCACCTGCTCCTCCAACGCCTCCCTTGCTCTCTTGCTGCAATAAATAGCTTTCCCAGTAGGCTCACCACAACTTCTGCCACCTCTGATCCACCCACCTGCTTCTTCTCCTTCTTGTTCCCCAGCTCTGGCAGCTCTGATCGCCCCGCTAGTCCCGGCCTCAGGACCTTTGCACTTGCAGTTTGCATGCCTGGATCACCCTCTCCAAGGCCCCCTGTGAACAGCCCTCCTCCACCTTCCCCCTCCACCCCCCACCATGTTCAGTGACAGTCACGTGACCCAGTTCCACTCACCACCCAGTTAATATCCAGCTGCCCCCCTTGTAAAGTTCTCAAGTTCCTTAGGAACAAAAACCCTTCTGGCTTTTTTAGCTTTGCTCTTCTCCATGCCTAAAATTACTGCACAGATACAATCAATGGGTTTGTCTTCATTTTTGTTTTTACAGTATGGGTTTTTGTTTTTTTTTTAACTCAGGGCCTCATTTGTGCTTAGCTGACACTCAACCACTTGAGCCATGCCGCCAGTCTTGGTTTTTGTCCAATGAATTGAAGATGGAGTCTCAAGGACTTTTTTCTGCCTGAGCTAGCTTAGTGCTAGCTCAGTCCTCCGGCTCTCAGCCTCCTGAGTAGCTAGGATTACAGGGAGCCAACAATGCCCAGGCAATCAATAAGGCTTTTAATTAACAAAGGCCAGTGACAACCGGTCCTGAATTCATTCCAGAACGGTTTTAAAACCTACTAGAGATAATTATTTATCTAAAATAAAAAGATCAGCCTCAAACCAAAACCAGAAAGGAAAGCAAAACTGTCTCCGTATTGGCTAGGATCACTGAACAGGAGCTCACTGCCCTCTACAACGCTGACTGAATTCAGAAATTGGCCAAGGAAGTTATCACGACATCAGGAGTGTGGAGGGTCGGTTCCGCCACCCCATTCCTCCCAGCCCGCGGGAGCAAGCCTGGACTGAGGGGTCAGACTGCCCAAGCTCCTGCTGTGTGATTACACACAAATCACTGCCCCTCTCTGGGCCTCACAGTCGTCAGTGGTGAAAATTGAGG